TTTGGTATTTTGAGGCACAACCCTTAAGTTGAATTTCTCTAATAGGGTATATATAACATTGTTTCATAAAACTAATTCAGAAAAAGAAATAATCGAAAGAGGAAGATCATAAACATTATATGTGGGTGATAAGCAGAAAATGCCTCTACTAGGAAGAAAAGCACAAGGCTAACAAAAGAGACTTGTTCCTAAAGAGACTGAAAGGATTACTTTCCCCAAGAGTAGAGCATCCTAGATGTTTGTCTTCCTTAATATTGAATAAAGCCCTTCGTAATGCCGCTGGACTGGGGGTACAGCAGATGTTACATGTTTTCTCCTTCATTTATATTTTCCAGGGGTAAAGAAAATTGAGGCATATAGGGATCTGGCTGTAGGGGAGAATTATTTTCAATTTGAAAAGCATTCTCAGTTTGAGTCAAAAAGAAAATGTGGATTATAGACAAATGATATTCTTCTGCTCCAAAATTCGTTTAAAGATTACTGACTAAAGTATTTCTCTTTTTTGATTTTTTTAATCTTAAAGACTTCTATTTACATAAGTCATACCAAAAATGTAGTATCCTTTTCAAAAATGAAAGTATTACTAATAATGTTAATACCTTGTCACCATGTCCCCATCTGGGTCCCTTCAATTCCTCCTCATTCTCCACCAACCCCTACCTAGCTAGGGCAACCGTTGTTCATTTTTCTGCAATATATTTGATTTAAGCTTTCCTTCTTTTTGTTTACATTGTTTATTTTTATTATTTCGAGTTAGCTTATTTTCTTTTATTTTTTGTTTATTTTTTATTGTGTTATGTTAATCGTCATACAATACATCATTGGTTTTTGATGCAGTGTTCCAAGATTCATCATTTACATATAATATCCAGTGCTCCATGCAGTACATGCCCTTACTTTTTTTAAAAGATAAAAAAAGGGGTACTGGGTGGCTCAGTGGGTTAAAGCCTCTGCCTTTGGCTCAGGTCATGGTCTCAGGGTCCTGGGATCGAGCCCCACATAGGGCTCTCTGCTCAGTGGGGAGCCTGCTTCCCCCTCTCTCTCTCTCTGCCTGCCTCTCCACCTACTTATGATCTCTCTCTCTCTCTGTCAAATAAATAAATAAAATATTAAAAAAGATTTTAAAAAGTCCTATGAAGATGAGAAAACAATATCATTTTACTACAATGGGCACTTTCTTATGTTTTCTCATTAACTGTGGCTCCCAAATTGTCCATCATGTCATGTTTAACATTTTCGGTGATTCTGAATTCATCCCTCTTCTCCGAAGGGGGAGCACATTGTTGAGGAGTGCTCACAACACAACTGTGTTTACAAAGGAAGAAGAGAGGTTCCCTTACAGATCACCCTGGGGCCTCCCATCAGGCCTCTGGCTCCCCGGTCCCTCTTCAGGCCCCACCTTTGTCCTTTGCTTCTGCAGATTCCAAGGCAAGACCCAGCCAACCGCTCTCTGAGTCCTGCTCAACATCACAATTCTTACATGTGCCTGACTACAGCCCTGGGTGAATTCACTGGCGCACTGTGGGCCCCGGGCACTGACACAGTACACAAAGATAAGCAGAATCCATGAAATAAGAAGTGAGGACTAGTCCCGTGTGTCAGGAGAGAAAGGAGCTACCCCTTTAAGAGTGCTTCCATAGCATCTTTTCTGGCTCTGCCCTCCTACCCTGCACGTCCACACATGACCTCCAGTTCGCTAGCTCCCACCCACCATCACCCCGGAACGCAGGTGCCCAGAATGAAAAGGCTGTTTTTTTAAAGTTGTGTAGGAAGAAAAGCCAAAGAGACTCAGGTATTAAGAAATAGAAACAAATTTTGAGACAAGAGTTGACCCGAATTAGTGTCCCGGTCAGGCAGCATGAAAGCAGAGACAGGACTGAGGAATTGACCCGTGGCAATCTGAGACGTAAGAGCACCCTTGAAAAACTGGTCCAGTGCCACAGAGAAGGATCATCACGAAACTTAGCCGTGTGCTAGTCAACAGTATTCATGTAATTAAGCTTTAATATTTGGGTCGCACACCCACCATGCAATCTCATTATAAACCGGATACCCACGCACGTATGTTTCCTTACAAGGAAAGCTGAGCTGTGTGATTCCAAGAATTCTTACTGAAAGTGCCTGTAGGTTTACATGTGTGTATATACGTGTGCATGTGTGTGTGTATCGATGTCTACGAGTCTATAAGCATATTCAGTCTTTTTGGCTTGGTTGATGTCATTCATTCTTAAAAGTGGGTATGTTCTCAGTAGGCTGACTTCAAGTTTCTGAGACTATCAGTGAAGATCCAGTTTTCAGACTGGGGGAAGCTCACAAACACAGTAAAGACCACCTGGCCTTCCCACTGTTGTCTCTGCTTTGAGGTATTTTATGGCTTCCAACGCGAATAACGACAACCCCGCACAGAGGCCGGGACCCATTCAAACAAATGAACAGGGAGAACTGACATCTTTCAGGCTCCCGTTTTGCACATCTGCCTCCCAAACAGAGCGAGAGTGGTTGTAATTTAAAGTCTCTGGGACACTTGTTCTCCCAATAAACTATAACAAGGCCCCTCTGTTCTTAAAGAACATGTGATCAAGTTAATAAAAATAATAGCAACCAAGAGCTGAGATCTCATATGAAGTGAAAAATCCATAGACAGGCATTGGTTGGCAAACACGCAATCTTTGAACACTCCAATGTGGTGGTCAATACCATCCCTATTTTATAAATTAAAATATGAGGCATAGAACATGAAGGATCATGTCCACAGTTTACAGCAAGCAAGAAATAAGAGAGCCAGTGTTGAGGCCAGATGTGTTCCAAAACTAGTGTTCCTCAGAACCACGGTGGGGTCTAGCTCTGGAAGTGACCTGGTGGGCAAGGGGCATCCCCTTCCAATGTGGGGTCCACTCAGACCGCACCTAGTGACAGCACCTGGTGTCACCACCTGGTGACAGCAACAGTGATTCACGATTTAAATCATGAAGTTGACTTCACGAACTCTACCTATTCAATTTCCCCAAATCACCACCTGAAGCACATTCCCATATCAAAATTAAGCCCAAATTAAACTGAAGCCTGCCTGACTCCCTATTCCCTAAATGCTGTCTGAATTATTACTAATCCCTGCCCCCTTCCTCTTTCATTAACTAATTGGCTTCCTCAGTCCTGCCTCTTTATGAAATGAGTTGTAGATGATTGTGCCACTCAGGCAATGGCCTTGAGCCATGGAACATCAACTTCGGCAGTCATGGAAGTTTTACAAGCCTCCTTTTATGGTCGTCCTCTTCCTTTGTACGCCAAGCCTACACCTCCCCGCGCCCTTACTTTACTCTAGTTTATCTAAATGGAAACAGGAGCCTCGCTCAATCCATAACTCATCCTCAGTTTCATGCCATCATCTCCTCACGTTTCCTTCTGATTCAGTAGTTCCTGGCAATAAAATCTCCTTTCATATACAGATATAGTAAAGTGACTCTAAAGAAACAAGATGCAAAGAACAGGGACCAGAGTGGCTTTTTCAAACCTTGGGAGACCACACTGAGCTCCAACATTTATGTTCTCTCTGGCAGAGATAGAAACGTGGACAGCAATGCTTATGTTGATAAAGTTGACCCTACAACTTTATGCAACCTCAATTTTAAATCCTAGACATTATCCCCATGATTTCCAATCTCAGGGTGAAGACATAACTTATAAAGGCCTAGAACTATCTTTAGGTCATGGTTATACTCGAAATTATCAGTCAAGAAAAAAAAAACAAAACACATTTCTGTGTATAACTCTAGCAACTAATAAAGTAATCTCAATGTTTGCAATTTTTCAGAACACATCAGGTTAGTTTAATCACCAATATGAAATAACCATGCCTTCTGTGAAAAATCCAATATTAACAAAACATAATTAAAACCACAATATCTCTTAGTGATATTGTGAAAACATTCCTAATGTTTAAGGTTAATACATATGATAGATTAATATATGACTTATTTAACATAAACCATGATATTATAACCAAAGTCCTCATTAATCTTATATTATTATTTTTTTAAATTTCAGTGCTTGAACTGAGCAGCTAAGCCCTGCTCTTACATTACCTCCATAACATGTAATAGAAACTTCAACAAATTTTACTTATACTACAATTTCATCTCCCGTCTGTTATAGTAAAGCAATATATACAGACTGGAAAAATATGTAATTACGTATAAATAACATGGTTTATGTAAAGTTGAGTCATCTTTCCATTAAAAAAATGACTTCACTTCATCAAATCTCAAATCGCTTCAGCCTGATGTTGCAATTTAAAAATGTGATAACCAATTTTTATTGTAACAAATGGCAACTCATCATCAAGTGAGCCAGTCGACATCATAGACCCTTTTTTTAATATTAGCAAGTTAAAAGGAAAATTGACATAGAATGCATAATTGTGTAATGATAAATAATGTCTGTAGACTTTGCAAATGAATATTTGGCTGCTATGGGTCTCAGTTTTGCTTTCATCAGAACTCTCAGGAATTTGCATTTCTAAAAAGGGATTAGACTGCTTTATAGTAAGATCCATTTGCTTTAAAAATCATAATTTTCAGAACAAAAGAATATTTTATTCAAGTTCTCCAAAGATCATTTTGATGGATACATTTTACAATACTACAATTGCCTTTTCAAGTTTATAGGGATTCAATGTATACTGTAATTAGTTTCTTTATTACAGACCGCCTCTCAAATTACACATTTTAGCATAATGGAAATCCATTTAATTAACTGTACTCCTGATGATTATGAAGACCCCTGAGTCATTACACTCACCTCTAGTGGAGGCTAAATTTTAAGGAAAATTTATTTTGCTTTCAGAATTTATGAAATGAAAAGAGAAAGCACTGTAGATGTGATTTTAAATAGAGCTAGACACTTACTTGAGAAAATAACTTGTCTTACAAAAGTTCTTCTACTATGACAACAGACAACTAAAGAAGAAAAAACATGGGAAAATAAACCAAACCCTCACTTACCAGGTGTGAAATTGTATCGAGCTGAAAATCCCATAGATTCCAGCTCTCCATCAGCAAAAAATTTAATCCATAGAAATCTTCCACTGGATTTTATTACAGGTGGATTTTGTTGTCCACAAAAACGTCCAATTATTGGAGAAAATCCAAAAGGTCCATCCCGAACTTCAATGTGATCAAATTTGCACTCCCAAGACGGTTCAATAGAGTACTTTTCATCAAAGTAAAGTTCAATGCATTGTCTTGGGGCAGCTGTAAAAAAGGAAAGACTATGTCTAGACGGCCGTTTTTCAATCTTTAGGTAGATATTTTAAATTCTACTTCAGGTTGTACCTGTACATCTATCAAACTTTGAGCACAACGTGAGTAGAAGAGCAAAGCAAGTCTGTAATACAGAGCATTCTAAGGGATAACATTTCCACAAGAATGTCTCAGGGATGCTCCTTAAAACTGGTGATGTTGCACAAAAGATTATTCAGATATAAAATGACTGCTTCAATGTCTAACACAGACCTCATAAATCACAGAATTTTTTGTGAAAGACCACTAACGTCAGGTTTAGAAAGTAGAAAGACATCTTTCTGTCACTTTGCTCATATCTTCTTAGGTGTCCAGTTTTAAGGTCAAAAGCCACTTACGAGTTGTTAAGCATAGAGTTACCCAAACATTCAAAAACTCCCAGTCAGATGTCTTGATTAGACCCAAGTGCATATACAAGGGTATTAAGAAGAATTTTTCTAGTACACAAATCTCACCACGTCACCCTCAGGTTTAAACTTAGCAACTCTCAATTAGCTACAGGAAAGTGATTGATGCACTTGACACTGCAGGACCCTTGAGGGTCTCCTACTACTCAGACTTCCAGGGTCTACCTACTCCAAACACAGCCCAAGTTCTGGCCACTGCAGAAACACTGTTTTCTAATGCAGCGTGCTCTTTTGGGCTCTCATGTATTTTAGCACTTTCTGGAGTATCTAACTCCAATTTGCTGACTCCTCTTTATGCAGGAAAACCTTGTTTATAAGAACCACCCGTCTGAATCTACTCACTAAGGAAAAATGTATTCACCTTCTTAATTCAGCACTCAGCACAGTACTTGTCATTGAGGATTTCTCAAAAAAAAAAAAAAATAAAATAAAATAAAAATTAAAAAATCTCTTTTGGGTGAATAGTAAATGAGGTTATCATAAATGTGTTTTAGAGCTCTGTACAACATCAGGAAGAGCCTCAGAGGGCTCGCAGCTCTACAGACCTCCACATTGGATGCACTTACTAAAGCCCTGCTATTTCTCCCTTGTCCTGTCCAAAACAGCTCAAAATCCTGGCACTCCAGACTGGTATTCAGCCAGGATACCCCAGAATAGCCATAACAGTTGTCAAAATATCCGTACACATTTATTCTAGTTAGTAAACAGCTGTTGCCTTGAGTCCTTTGAGTGCTCTCCTGCCGTGTGGCCCTCCTCAGGGACCAACACCCTCCAGAAACTTGTAAGTTATGAGCTGGTACAGCACGGCCTGCTCCCCATGTGGTCAGTAATCATTCTGAATGACTGCTGTCCACACCACACCAGTTCTTAAATGTGTATTGAATATCACCCTTGGTGGCTTTAAAACAAAAGCCTTGGATGTCAAAAATTTAGAGGGAATTGAGATACATAATAAATTGGAAATTAGAGACATACAGAATAATCGAAGCTCATTTGGTTAAAGGTCAATGCATGTGACAAGCCTATTTTAGGGAATATTTTTAATCTCTGAAAATGTTTATAACTCTTTGGACATTGTAAAAGAAACATTTATTACTCTTCAAGAAAAACCAGGGATGGTTTTACCTACCACTACAGTATAGTCACAAAGGTCAACAACTGTAGTATTAGCATATTGATAGATTTGATGAAGTTTCAATATTTTTTTAAAAAATATCTGAAAATTAGAAAGTATCCTAAGAAATTACTTGGAAAACCATGTTTGTTTGTTTTTTTCCCCCTTGAGATTATTTGTTCAGCAACAAAAAGGCAAAGGCTCAAGAAACTGGACCTACTGATGTAGTAGAATTCAGTATATCATTTGTAGGCATTAGTATCTTATAGCCTGTGCCTTTTTATCTGCTCATCGGCAAGCCAGTATGATAAGTTTTATAAGGAAATAAGCTATTTGAGAATGTAGGATATTTCTTTCAGATGTAAATAACGTATGTCTAGGGAACAATAAAGTATTGAAAACAACTGTGCTAATTTACTTAAAACTCAGGAAGCAACATCCATCTATTTTTCCCTATTAGGAAAGGCACGGCCATCAAACATGGACTCATGTATGCATACCTTCATTTTCACTGTTGCTTAAGTTCTGCCGAACGTAAAACAAACCTCCCAATGTTCCTTTACAACACATACTATCACTGTGGCCTTTGGGGGGGCCACACTTACGGGGACAGCTCATCTTCTTTTGGTCAGCATGTTGAAGTTAACGACACACACTCACATACAAAATTCCACTAACTGAATTTTCAAAGGCAATAAAATAGGGTTTTATAAGTGAGCATGTCATGTGGTTGTTTTAATTCAAAACAAGTGATTATAGTACCTGGACGGCATTGGAAGCTCTCAAGGTTCAGCTCCTTACGCTTAACGTTTTCCTTCCCTTTGAATCTCTCAATTCACAGCTGCCTTTCACGTCCACATTTTCTCTAAGTCATCTGGTATCTGATCCTAACGTTCCTTTATGAGAGGTCTTACCCTCCTAACCTGTCCATGGGTACACTGAAGACCTGAGTACTTTCACCTGAAAACTGCACATAGCTACAGAACATTGCCCCCTCTTCGAGGGAGTTTTAGGACAACCTGAAACCACAAAAGGGATCTTCCTTCCTGTGACCTCCACTGTTCATCAGAACCTGTCCTACCTCAAGAAACTTGACCAATGATTTAGACCATTCTTAGATTTTACATTCACCTTTTTCTACAGAAGAGGCTACTCTTTTCAGAATTAAACATGACAATTTGCCCCCCTGAAAGCAGAAAAGACAAAAAGACAAAGAAAGTAACTGCCTTCCTACAGTGGGTCCATCAACACCCACCCCCCCAGGCCCCCCCCCCCACCACTGTGAGTCAGTTCCCAGCTCCACTGGGGTAATGAGTACACACGTCCTAAAGTTACTATCAGCTTCTCAGTGGCCTCATGCAATAGATGTATTTGCTGTTACCTTACTTGTCTTTGCTGTAATAGTTGGCATTTTGGCTACTCCCTTCCTGCTGAAATGCCACCTCCATTATGTGCTGGGGCATCTTTTACCTGATCTCTAGTCCCCCTCTGTGGTTCGTCCTTCACAGTCCCTGTTACCTTCTCCTTACTCTCCCATCCCTTACCTGCTGTTTTACAGAAACCCATTTTATGTCTTCTTTCCACTATTTCTAGACCAGAGTTCTGGGTACCACTGGCATCCCAATGGATGTATATATTACAATATAATGATGCCTGCAGCTCCATCAAAAACAAATTAAACCAGACTTCTTGGGGACAGACCCAGGGATCTGTATTTTTTGAAAGATTTATAAAATAGTGCTCCAAATACTCTTTCTGGATAATTTTATTCATACCAAGAGCCTCAACAACAATTCATATTTATAACCTATAAATATCTATTTTCAGCCCAGAGCTTTCCAGTGAGCTAAAGACTCACATATCCAATTTCTTTATGCGACATCTCTATAAACACCAAAGCGGAATTCATTATTTTTCCTTTAAACCCTATTTCTCCACCCACATTCTTTACCTGGCATGGAAATTCCATCTATAGGGACGTCTTGGTGGCTCAGTGGGTTAAAGTCTCTGCCTTCGGCTCGGGTCATGATCCCAGTGTCCTGGGATCAAGTCCCATGTGGGGCTCTCTGCTCTTCGAGGAAAAGCCTGCTTCCCCCTCTCTCTGCCTGCTTCTCTGCCTACTTGTAATCTCTGTCTGTCAAATAAATAAATAAAATCTTTAAAAAAAAAAAAAGAAATTCCATCTATATGTCACCAAGAATCATGTCGGGATTTCCTATCTCTCCTGCCTACATCCAGGCACTTGTGACTCAGTTTCCTAAAGACCTTTTATCTCTCCCTTTGACCCACAGCCAATGTTATTTGTGCCGTTCAGGCTCTTACTATACTAGATCTTACTTGTAAGAGCTATGGCTTATGTGGTCCTTCACAGTAGTCTCTGCTTACTACTTTTCCTTCTGTCACCTCACCAAAATATCAGCTTATTATTTTTCCACTTAAATTATTTCAGTGGCACCCCATTGTCTATGATACCAAGTTCAAACTTTCACAGCTGGACCAGACAGAATACCAGTTCTTTATCTGAGACGGTCGACCTCTTGAACTTCCTTGCTTCTCCCTCTCCTCACACCATGCAGAAGCTACACCTGGGTCCAGATCACACCATATCTTGAGCTTTTGCATGGGCCATTCTGAATAGAGAATTACCTCCCTGAAGTTTTTCAAAACTGAGTGAAAGCATCTCCTTCTTCTCGTAGGCTCCTCTCCTCTCTGCTCCAAACACTGCTAATTTGGGGGTCCCTTTAGACTGTGTACTGAATGAGGCATATTCCCCAGACCACATTTTAAGTTCCATAGGCAAGTACCACGGTTGTTTTATTAAAGACTCTCTAAACTGTATCTAGAAGAGTGTCTATTCCTTAGTAATTGTTCTAAATAAATGTATGGAAGAAAATAATGGCTAGTATGAAGTATTTCAAAAACAGTGCAGAAGTATGATTAATAGTAACAGGAAGTTCTACTGACGTCTCAATTTTATGTTTAGTCCTTGACATAACTAGGAATGAATGTAGATATGTGCATGATGTGAGAATAAAATGCTAGTGATGCTTTTCAATTCTAAATAACAATAAACATGGAAGCACAATTAATATACAAAGATCTGCTTCTGAATTAATCCTTCAAATGAGAGAACTAATTGATTTTATTCTTTTTAATAATTCTAAGTTTAAAAATACTGTTGCTTCAAAACACAAATCATGTGAGTTTAAGCAAGACATTTAACCTCCCTGTGTCTGTTTCCTTGTCATAAAATGAGGACAACAAAAAGTACCTACCACCTATGTTTAAACATTTTAATATACGTTAAGACACAGATATACATATAATAGATAGGTAACATTAACTTGGTGAAGAGAACAACTAAGTTTAACCCAGAATTTCCATATTTCAATTTCTTTTTCTATCAATCACATGAGCAATAAAACTGCAGAGCTCAGATTTCTGTTTCCTCTTTTTATTATCACAGCTTATGCTTTTTTTCCTCCTTCTTATAGTGCAGTATATCTTTGCTAAAAGTTCACCCTCAAACACAGAAAGGAGAGAAGTAATATCCTTAGCTTAAAAGTTATAAAAAGAAAAAAAGAATCATTGCTAAACAGGAATTCTTGAAATCAGTTAAACAGAAAGCCTTTTCCTTTCCAAGATCTACCAAATGAACATGCCCCTCATTTGGATATATACACTGAGTATACACTGTCTTTTTCATTAAGATGGCCCAATCTGTCTATGTGTGTGGGGTATGGAAAAGGGTTGCAGGTTTGGGGCTTTTAGGTATTAACACTTATAATATTGAAATCTTCATCAGTAGATGAAATAATCATTCATTTTAGAAAGTTGTTACTTAATCGAGTGCTATCTACAAGGGTAATGGAAATTGGAAACGTTCAAAGGGAAATGAATCTCTCAAAACTATTTATCTTTTGAGTTAGGAAAGAAAATGATGAAAAGAAGCATCATAATTTGGAATTCTGACTTTGGCATTAAAGGATGATAATGCCACTTGTTAACATAAATTAAGGCAACTATCATTCAGACTATTTGGAAACATGATTATAGATTGATTTTTGACATTAATATCTATTTTTGTACTTTATATTATTAAAGAAAAGTAACAAATGTATAGGCTTTTCTACTAACTGGTAACCAATAAAATACTAGTTTCTAAAATTGTTATACATTTAGGTAATATTATCCCAGCTATGCGTCCATTCCAATTAATTAAGAATTCTAAATCAATTGTTAACTGCAAAATAAACTGTTTGCTTTTATTTGTCAGAATTTACTTACTCAAAACCCATTGCAAATAATTTTAGTAATTAGTCTGATCCCAAATTTTAGTTATTTGATTCACTAAGAGATATTTCTGTGTATGGTCTCTAAAACCAATTTTTTAATATATACACATATTGTCCATCAAAATCATAGTGATGGCCAGGTTTGGCTTGGAGTTCTCTCCAGCCCTGTCTGTCCAGCCCCTTACCTTCTATGATGTAGATGCACTCTCTGTCAGGAGGGTACTTGCTGGGGTAGTTGGGAGAGGTAAAGATACCTCCCTCTGCATGTTTTGTCCAAGTTCCACACTGCACTGACTTCTGAGTTTCCGAGGTGGCTTGCTTTTCTGTAAAAAATAAAAACAAGTGCCATCATCCAATTTTCTATAAGACTAAAAATAGAGAGGACATTCTTATAATATCCATTAGTAAATTAATTTTGAAATGTCATCTTAGTCAAAATCAATCAATTATACACACTATAAAATGTTCAGATATTCTGGAATATTAAGAATATGGGGGAAATAGGAAAATGTAAATAATTAGAGGTCTTCCACTGCATTTTCCCAAAGAAACACACCTGTTCCTTTCTTGGTTGCCCCAGACAAATGGAAGATGATTAAACTTGCTACAACTGAAACAGAAAAGAAAAATTAGAAAGAGATCATATTAATATACACTGAAATGATCACATTCTATAACAACATAAAGATAAGATAATATCAAAGCAGACTCACTGTATTATTGTTAACTGTTCCGTTCACTCAGAATGTGCCCAAACTGGTTAAAAATGTACAAATCAGGAAAATTTAGAAATCCCTTCAGGAAGTAATGCAAGTTAAGGATGAATGATTCCCAAAAGCTGCAAATGTGAACCTCAAGACTTCAGAGGCAATGCTGTAATTTACTCAAGCACATTCCAGTAGGATTTCAAGACCTGTATTGTTTCCAACTGCCCACAGGAAATGGCTTTGCTAGCAAAGAAGACGAAGAGTGAACCAAATGAAAGGCGGAAAAAGCAACTAGTGAGGTAGGTCTCTGTGACTGACCCCAAGGCACTGCCAGTGTTGATGTATTTGAGAAAATAAATACTAGGGTAAATCTTATGGCATGTGGGGGAGGGGAACAGGAGAAACACAGATAAATTTGGATTGACAGCATTAAGCAGTTTTACAAAAATGTTTCTTATAAAAAAGTACTATACTACCGAGTAACCCCTGTCCTCACCACTTCCTAAGCTATGCAGTTAATTTCTTCTAATCTTAACTTTGACTTAATATTCAGTATTATCCAGAAATGAGCATTTTACTGAGCCAGTTTTTCAGTATCAAAAAAAGACCCCGATCTCTAACAAGAGTGAATCCGCAAAGACCATTGAAACCCAAACTTCTGCTTGACTTTTGTACCTTGATTTACACACCATGTTTATAGAACCTGAAACTAGAAGAGTAATGAAACAATCTAGTCTTCATAATTACTGGTTTTTCCTCTTCTACTTTATCTCTGTTATTTATTTTGTTGCCTATTCCCTAAAAGCTCTAACTTCTATTGGGTATATAATCATATTTCCACTTAAAATTAACTTGGGAAAGGGAAGGTATAATTTGCGATGATTTCCTCAACCGAAGCTCATGGCAGGAGCTTATAGATTTATGCTTTTAGGTTATTCCAGGAAGAGAACGTGGGCTTTTATACTGGCATTTGAGAGAGTGTACCAGTTATATTACTTCCTAATCCTGCCTGATCATTCGCTTAGATTAAAACATTAACTGTTGTCGTCTGTGTCTAAACAGAAAAAAGAAATCTTATTTTAATTTGCCGGGTTTCTAGACACACACAAACAACACAGGTACATGGCCATCAATACCAGGACGTACTCGCGGTGCTGTCTTTACTCTGCTTTTCCTGTTCTGATGGAATCACACGGTGGAGCAAGTACTATGACTAACACATCCACAAAGCCGGTCTTTTAACTGCGTGGCACAGGATTAACACTGGAATCCTAGCCTTTTAATGTGGAATTTCCACCACACATTCTCTTACACTGCCTTCTACTTGATGACTTCTGAAGCCATTTTCCTCTCAATCGCATGCGCTCCCGCACACCCATAACGCAACACTAAAGGTCTTCGGGCCACAGAGTTGAGGTTGGCCCGCGCCCTCCTCACAAGCGTTGCGTTCAGGTGCACCCTAAACTCCCTCCTGGAGGGAAAATAGGAGCCCGCGGAAGCCCCCGGAAAAGGGCCATTCCCTGCAGCCCACAGACTGCCGGCCCGCGCTCTCCTCCTCTCCACCTGCGCCCTCACCGGGCCCACTCCCAGGCGCTCCCGCACGTGCTCGCCTCCGCCCCCAGGACGTCCCCGCAGACGGAAAGGATGCTGTCCCCCGCGGCTTCTGAGCCCCAGCGACCACGGACCGGGCGCCGCCCCCACGCCTCGACTGATTATGCTGCAGCCCAGAAAGTTTACAGGTGCCGGGACTCGCTGGGACTGCGGGGTCCGGTGGGAGCGCCGCGGCTAGGCTTTCCCCTGCGCGTTCGGCCACGAGGGAGGAGGAGGGAGGAGGGACCGCAAGTGGACCCGCGCGGCGGGAAAGGTACTCACTGTGAAACAAACTGCGTCCATAGATCATGTCTGTTCGTTACACCAGAGGCTCCGATCTCCACTAATTCCATTTAGAGCCGGGAAGACTTCCAGTGGTGGGGAGAGGACGGAGTCGGGGGGTTTAAATGTGCAAACCAAGAACCAAATGTAGGGGGGAGATAGCGGGGGGAAAGAGCGAACCGAGCCCACACAGCAGCAAGATCCGAATTCTGGCGTCCTCCGCCCCTGGCTCGCGCTCGCTCTCGCTCGCTCTCTCACCGCCGCGAAGCCAGCATCCCCACCATGACGCTCGCATCACACCCGGGCGCCGATCGCCACCATCAGCACCGCCGGCGGCAGCACCCTCCTCCTTTGCATCATCGCCGCCGCCGCAGCTGTCAGGAGGACGCGCGGGCAGTCTGCGCGCGGGCGGCGGCGGGCGCGGGGCGAGCCCCGGGGCGCCCGGACCCGGGCCGGGGCCGGGGCTGGCGGCGGTCGCAGCGAGGCGGGGGCCAGTCCAGACCGACGGCAGCGACGGGGCGGGCGGGCGGCGGCGGCGGCGGCTGGGGCTCGCTCAGTCCCCAGTTTCGTACACCACGAGCAGCAGGTCGGAGCAGCCTCTCCGGGAGGATGTCCAGCGGCAGCCCTCCTCTCTCCAGCCCTTGGGGATCTTCCGTTGAGGCATTGAAGACAGGAGGAAGGGGTCCGTCATCGGCTCGCCGGGCTCCGCGCCACCTCTGCGATCTTGCGGAAAGAGGAGCGGGTGGGTGGGCGTCTGGGAGGAGGGCGTGAGGGTGGAGGAGGGAAACGGGGGTGGCCAAGGGGGCGGGGAAGGGAGGGAGGAGGAAGGAGCAGGAAGATGGCAGAGTTACCAAGTGGGCGCCTGAGTCATAGCGGTGGGCTGCGCGACCCTCCGGGAAGCCCGGAGCCGGGGCGAAATCGGGCAGCGCGGCGCGGCCGGCGCCCCCGGGGCTGGTGCGCGGCGGACTGGGGCGGCGGCGGCGGCTGCAAGGACATCACACCCGCTCTCGGATGCTGGGGGGGGGGGGGGGGGGGGGTGAGGACCAGGCTGGGATCCGTCACTCGGCCAGCCCGGGCTGAGGGGACCCGAAGGGAGCAAGCAAATCCGGAGCTGGACCCAGATGCCCGATAAAAGGCGAGCAAGGGGGAAGATCCATCGCGTAAAAATTCCCTTCGGGGTTCAGGGTTCACTTTTCACGGGTTAGAGATTGCGGTCGATGTGTCTCCCACCCCTTATACTGCATCTGTCTAGAGGAAGCGGTTTGTCTCTCTCATCGGGGCTTGTGGGGGCAGGTTTGCCGTTTACTGCGCTCTCGGGCTGGGAGACGAGGCAGGGGCGCGCCGGAGGGAGAGGCAGCGGCAAAAGTTTCACGGTTAATCGCCCGGCCTGACGCGGAGGTCGCCCCCACCAAAGTGCTTCTGCGAACACTCCTTCATCCTCGCCCAGATATTTAAAAGCCCCAGGGCAAACACAGAACACCTCCCGCCCCACCTCGACACGCGCCGACACGCGCGGGCGCAGCGCGTTGAACTCAGGAGGGGGCGGGGGGAGAGTTGCTGGGAAACGGCCCGGAAAAGCCCCGCTATGCAATGCGAACGCACGATCGCGGAGGCAGAGTGAACAGCGGGCCGCCCGGCGTAGGGCCCGAGCGCGCAGGGGTGAGGGGGAGTCCCACCCCGGCCGCTGCAGCAGCGCCTCCTCCCCGCCCGCCACGTCCCGCCCTCCCCGGCCGCTGCGGACCGCCCGCGCCACCACCGCCGCCGGCAGGACCTCGCCGCCACCCCGAAGCCCGCTACCCCCGGCCACCGCCTCAGTGGTCCTGGACCCCAGGGCTGCTCCCCCACCCCACTTCCCGAGCGCGGCCTGGGGCTCGGGTTGGGGACGATGGCGGTGATTATTTGGGGGTAGGGAGGACTCAGGAGGCGGCCAGCTGAGAGGCGCGGCGCGGCGACGCGGGGGACCACCTCCGAAGGCGGAGGAGAGAGGTCAGGGCCGTGAGAGGGGACGATAGAGTGTTAGCGCCGGGCTGCGGTCGCCGCTGGGCTCCCGGCTTGGCCTCCCCCTCGCGGCACCTGCTGCTGCGGCGCAGGGCGGCCCACGTGGGGACGTGCGTGCGGGTGGCGGTGCTAGCGCGCTGCGCGCCTTCCCCTGGCACCGCGGCCACGAGGGTGGAGGGCTTCTGTCCGCCACGTGACAAGAGGGACAGTGAGGCGACCCCCAAGGCCGGGGCGGGGGGATCCCCGAGTCCAAACACAACCTCCTAGTCTCCTTCCACTGAGCTTTTGGTTTCTGGGTTCGAGGCAGCTGCAAGTCCTCGAGGTGGGTAAAAGTGACCAGGTAGAGGGTAGAGGTGTGTGTGTGTGTGTGTGTGTGTGTGTGTGTGTGTGTGTGTGTTTACATCCATTTAATGAACGGGGCGGGGCGGGGGGGAGTAGATGGGGCAGGAGGAAACCAAGAGCTAGAGGAACAGACAGACAGACTGCGCACCGACAGAGAGCTAACTCCACCTGATGGGAGCCAGAGGAGCTAGGAGCTCAAGGAAATAGCAAGGGATGGGTGGATGGATGGAAAGCCAGGAGGAGCGCCCCCAGAAAACCGGTGTATATCTGGCCAGCTTTGTACCTGTAAAAGGGTCAAGAGGAGAAATAAGCAGAAGGTCCCTTGGGAGTCGTAGGACCCTCACGTGATTCTTGTCCCAGCATGGGTGTTGGGGGTGGATGGGAGTGGGGTTGAGGAAGAAATGTCCCAATTGCAAAGAAGCAGGAGTGACCAGAGGATGGTTAGCGGATCTTTAGAGTGGCTAATAGATGTGTGAATAGGTGACAGACACAGGTCCCCAAGGTGGGAGGGAGGGTCCTCAAAAGATGTTCAACCCCAAATGTTGATTGTGGAATGTTGAAACTTTTAAAACTGGATGGTAATTATGTTTTGCATCCCAGAAAATATGTCTTCTTTAGGAAAATGATAAAACCATTCAATAGTAACTATGTTAAAAAATATCTTAGTGAAAGCACTACATTTCTCAGTTGCCATTTGAACATAAGAGAATACAAACTTGGACTTCGGTAAATCCACCCACTCAAGTATGTCTAACCTGTTTCCTTGCCTTTGCCTAGGTCAGTTTCCCAACACACAGATTGTGTTACTGGGCCAAGGAAGTGGCCATTCCTAAATTTTGCTGCAAAAGTGGTTCTTGCAGGAAATGTAGGAAGGAAATCCCAGAAGGAAAAAAGGGGAGGGTGATAAAAACTTTTTATCCATTTTCTCACTCCTCCACAATAACCTAGTGGCTCCATATGTCTGTGTTGGAAGTCAAATTCTCAGACATAGTGGCCTCTCTGATTTATGAACCCCAGAGCTCTCCTGGGCAGTGTCTGGGCCTGAGAGGTGACATTTCTGCTCAGACCTCAGTGCTGAGGGCAGAAATGTGCCTGTCCTGGACCAGGTCCTCTGCTCACTCACCCAGAGACTTGAGGCGGACGGATGATGTGGTTTTGCACCATTGCCCAATCTTCCTGGGCTGTGGCTGCAACTTTTCCTTGAAAATTCTATTCATTTTCCTACACAGGCATGCAGAAATACTTTAAACTACCCACCACATTCTGCTGTCTTGGCAAACTGCCTTTTCACTTTTGAGTTTAGAACCACCACTTGCTGAGTAATGCTACCTCCCTAATGGGAACCCACAAGATTTTTCTTTCTGAGAAAAACCAACATATGGGAAAAGTTCAGCTTCTCCAAGGAAGGTTATGCATACATATGGTCAGGTTTCAAGACTTAATGGTTTTGAAAGGGAGTGGTTATAAACTGATAGTTTTGTAAACTCAATGTGCTGTCCCAGAAGATGGTGCCTGTCACAGTTCTTCAAAATTAGCACTGAAGTAGATACTACTTATAGGAAAAAATGCAGAATGCATAATTCTGGAACCCAATTAAGGTAACATTGGTTTCCTTACATTGTATCTTATAATGATAAATGTTAAGAAAGATTCCCAAAACCCTTAAAAGAATTGGTATAGGACGCTTGCTCTTCTGATTCAAAAGCAAGTAGTATTTGTCCGAGGCTCATAGCTCTGTATAAAAAATTAGAAAGCTTCAGATCCTCTAAGACTCTTTCATTAATTTATCTGCAGTATGGCATCCTCAAAGTTGTTTTTCTATGACCGTAACAGATGATGTTACAAAAGCGGCAAACAAAATAGTGCTTCTGACACTCTATATTAAATAAACTTATTTTAAATAACTATTTTCATTTACTTGCATAGTTACATAAAGTTGTCTTTCCGTTTTATTAACTCACCAATCTACACATCACGGTATTAGTTTATCAAAAACAATTATTAATAAATGCTGCCAAATATCAAAGGTCTTTAAAAATTATCTCCAATTCTCTAACATGAAACTTGAACCAACATGGGAAGCCACTTACCTTCAAGAATCTGAAAATATATTGGGGCAGAGTAGAAAATCTTCATGATTTGAATAAGATTGATAAGATTTGATAAGATTTCAATCTTCATGATTGAAATCTTACACTTCAACCAGGCAGGATACCTTATGAACATGATAGAGAAATAAAACATGGAGTTCTTAGAAGTATGAATACATGGTATTGTTAGATATTGCAGGGATATTAGCCTCTTGTGGGCAAGAATTTTCAGAACACATTATTCCATCAGTTGTCATCAGTACTTACAGATGTGTGGTCATTGTCCACAATGTTTCATATCCCATGATGGTTGTGCTCCAGGAACAATGTATGATTATCTCTGTTTGGGGAAATGAGGTAAGTAAAAATAACTCCATGATCGACCTGTCTATGGGAAAATTTAGAAAAGCTTTATTGTACTTGTGATTAATATTTAGTTGACAGTGGCTTATAAAGATAACATCAGTATTAAAAAAAAATAGTCACCAGCCTAATTAATAGCTAGTATTCTGTAAATCAGCACAGACAAAAGGAACATCTAGAAGATACATCCTGACATGGGAAGGTATACTGTTCTCCCTAAAGGATCCGCCTCTGGACTGACTTGGGCCATAGCAACCACTCACTGTGATTTTGGGGAAAAAACAATCACTAGTTGAAAAAAGAATCTAACCACATTTAGTAAGTACAAGTTAAGCTGAAAAAACAAATGTATACATTTCATGACAATATGTCCTTTAAGAAATACAAAGTTTCACTTAAAGTTGCTAAACCACATATGTGACTATTGTTTGTATCAGGTATCATTTTTTATGCTTAATTATAAAAGTTAACAGCATCATCCAAATTGTCTTCCTTTGCATCGTTAGGACATGACATGCTATGATTATGATTTATTGGGTACTAAGTAGATGATTTAGAAAACAGCAAAAGCCAGGATGTGCTTGTTGAAAATAAAGCTAAATGTTGGGCTAGGACAGGACTTATGTCTGACTCATGAAATAATTGTAAAGAGTGAACAAGCTGTGGTGTATGGAAATGAATGTTGAATGAAAATATTGTTTTTTTTTAATACATATAATAGCAAATTCATGTATCTATTCTTTTCTTGGCCGTCCATTCTCTTTAATATTCAATATGTATCAAGAAACATCCCCAAAGTTCTCAGTTCCTTTTGCAAGACAAGAAAAATGTAAAATGGCCTCCCCCCCCCATTTTAGCACCAAGGTGAAAAAAAAAAAAAAAAAAAGGAAAGAAAGAAAAGAAAAGAAAATACAATTTCAGAAGGGAGTGATCCTGCAGCAAAAATTTTGCCAGGCTGTTACAGTTATGATGATTTTAAAACATTGAGGGAAAAATGCTATCAATGCCTTTTGTAAATGTACCATTTTAAACAGTAGTCTGCAAATAGTTTTCTAATTGACATACATAGTTAATTTTCAATATATGTAGCTTGGAAATAAAGGATTTGTTGTAGTTATGAGTGGCTCTGCACAGTGCACCCTCCTGTGGCAATTATAGTTCCTTCTAAAAGGATGCTCTCCAACTGAGTAGAAGGAAAGAAGAGGTTGTTGGAAATGATATAAAGCATTGACCTTCTGAGGGGCACTCTGAAAGCTGTCTTAACACAGTCCTTTGTACAGGATGCACCTTTATCAAGGAAACAGACAGGTAAGGAATGAGACGGACCCATAAGAACTGTTGGATATGCATAGGATACAAATTTGAATCTTCTATTAAAAAGATGTTTGTTTTCAGGTTTTTCTTAGAGACTGCAAGCTGGATGGCATGTTTGGTATTACAGGAACCCCATCCCACAAAGTCAGGGTATGAGAACTGAGTAACATCAGAGTTAGCATCCAAGAGCAACTAAGTTAAAATCATTTTAATTCATAATTTAAAAGCACAACAGAGTTCTTTTGCTCAAAGGTTATAAGTTGCTGCTTTTGAGGCATGTATTTTATTAAGTTCAATTCTTAATAATCCTTGCTTCTCTGAAAAATCCTGATTGGACCACAATTAACTAACCTTCCCAATGTCAGCAGCCTTTTTAGTTCAATCAAATGTTTGATCACACACTACAATCTCCGCCATCCTCCACTGCTCTGAGACACGATGTAGGAAATATCCACACTTCTATACCATTTTCACCAGCAGTTTTACATCTCTGCCAATACTGTTATGACACCAGTTTTGACTGTTGGGGACACACGGTAGAGTTAGAATTGTTAAGGCTTCTTTGCCTCACTTCTATATGCATGTGAGTTGGCAATACTTGATCTTCTCCCATTTTATCATTTTAAGAATAAAGAAAATGAGGCCAAAGGAAGTGCAGTAATTTCCACAGTGTTACTTTATTTGTAACATAGTAACTATTGGATTCCAGATCTTCCAACTCACAGCTGAAAACAAAAACAAACCTTGCTGTTCAACTTGAATGCATTTCCTTGAGCTCAAAGGAAACTTAATGTTTTCTGCCATTGTTCTACTTACTCCTGGCTAGAGTGTGTATGCTTCTAGAACTGCCACTGCTGAGTGTAAGTGTCTGTGAGGGTTAGTATTAAAAAAAAAAAAAAATCAAAGAGCAATTAAAGAAAACAGCAGGTGAATGTGGGGCGGGGGGGAGAAAAGCTTAGGGAAGAGAAAGACCTTGGTACATAGAAGGTTTAAGTGGGGAATGGCAGCGATAATTGTGCTGTTGTTAAAGTCTCGCTAGAATAAATAAATAACTGTATGCTCATTCATATAGAAACACATGTACAACATAAGGAGAAAGCAGGTGGGTACACATTACATATAACCAAGCTGAATAACATCACCTGTTGGAAGAAAGGCCAATTCCTTAATAAGCTTTTTACATTGTTTAAATGTGATGTGTACAAGTTGAGAAGATTGGAGTCAGGAATTTCTTGTGAGAATGCCAGCTCTGTCAGTTAGTAAACACATAAAAATTACTTAAACTCTCTTAGCCTATTTCTCTCACCTGTAAGATGGAATAGTGATATACAGAGTTATTTAATGATGAAATGGATTTACATGTAAGGCATGGTGCACACTGACAGGCATGTGTAAATAAATATTGCTACTTTTATTAACACAGTGATGAAAACTACCTATTTTTGTGTCTTGGTAGATGGAAACAATTTCATAAAAACTCAAGTACCTGGATGCTATGTATACCCAAAACTATTTCTGTATCTCTGTCTGTATTATATCTGCATTTATATCTCTAACTCTATCAATCCCTAGAATATAGTTCTATCATTAAGACATATGTGGTTTTACGGTTTAATGTAACAATGCTGATTCATGGCTGAGCTGAGAAAAGTTGGCCTATATCATGGCCATGCTTGTAACAATACAAATATTGTGAGATTCTCTTCAAGAAATCAAACATACTAGTGTCCTGAGTTGAGAAAACTGGGGCTTGCAGCAAAGACACAACAGGCTAGAGGTGGGGGGGGGGGTGCTGAGGGAGAGTTTGTATGTTTTGATTTGTTTTATTATTTATATATCTGAGAAAGAGAGAGAAAACAAGGGCAGGGGCAGAGGGAGAAGGAGAGAAACCCCAAGCAGACTCCTCAGTGAGCATGGAACTGACAAGGGACTTGATCTCAGGACCCTAGAATCATGACCTGAACTGAAAGAGTGGGACACTTAACTGACTGGGTGACCCAGACACACCTGAGAGTTTGTATTAATGCTGTAAATATACCCTTGCTTTGCTCTGGAAGCTTGTCAGTATACTTTTATTAAAAGTATACGTTTATTTAAAATGTTGTGGGTTTCCTGTAGATCTTATTAGAGGGGCTCCCCTCCATCAGATAAAAATTACACTCGTTAATCTCCTTGAGAGATTTCTCTCAGCTTTGGGCTAACCATGAGGCACGTGGAACAACGCCTTCAACGTCTTCCCTTGTCCTATTGGTCTAGTTGTGAGGATGCACAAGACTCATGAGACTCTTGACACATTTTATTCTCTCCGAATTTTTAACCAAGGTTCTTATAACTTCAACCTTGTTTTGAACTTCCTCTCCAGCCCCCTTTTACTGGCTATGCCCCAGGCTGACTTTTTTCTAAGCCATTTCTTAAATTTGAGAGTATTTTGCTATCCGAAAAGGCTGAGAATGACAAAAAGTTTTGTTTTCTTAACATAGCAAGTTCTGATTCCTTTCTATTTCCTCTAAATTCTGCTCGAAAAATGAACAGTTCCATCTGTAGCTGTTCCCTCTCACTTGTGTCTTGCTGCACCCAGCTCTAAGAAACCTGCTGGCACGTTCTCAGGAAGCTCCTTAGCTAAATCCATTCCATCACTAGGTATATTTTCTATTTTCTACATTAACGCAGGTGACAGTCGTGTTACACTTTCTATCACAACATGATAGCTGCCAACTTTTCTCCTGCCTCTGACAACAATTTACACGTTGTCTTTTCAGCTCCTACACACAGTTTCCTCGGGGTCTCAAGGCCTCTGACTTCTAGAAGCTCAGTCCCAAAGACAGCACCATCTGTTTCAGCCTTTTCTCACAGCAGCACCTTCTCCCTTCGAAGTACTAATTCTGTGCTGTGTAACAAACTGCCCCAAGGCTTCATTTGAAAACAAACTCTCAGGAAGAGTGTGGAAGGGTGGCTTGGTGCTGCTCCATGAAGTTGGTATCAGCCAAAGTAGCCAGAACTGAGGCTCAACTTCCAGAAAACTCCCTTTCTTGCAATTCCAATCCCTTGACACTCTTCTCTCTCTCTCTCCTCAGTGATGTGTCCTCTGGTGTTTCCACATGGCTGGGGCTCTCACACTGGTACTCTCAAGACTACCTGTGTGTCTCACAGTGCTTTCTGACTCAACAGGGAATGCAAACTGCAGGCCTGGTGGAAATGGACGCCTCGAGTGGCACATTATCATTTCTGTCATCTTCTGTTGGTCAAAGGAATACAAAATACAGGGTCCACTCAGTTTCCAGGACATAGAAAATTAAGATCCACCTCACAGCAGGGGAATGACATGGTAGCATTGCAGAAGAACATGTGGAATTAGAGATATGATGACAACCATCTTTGGAAATATAATCTGCTGTACCTACCCCATTGCCATCCTCAGGCTAGAATACATCTGGGTGAGCAATAAATATCCAGGGAGACCAGGAGTGTAGCTATAGTGGGGAGCCATTGAAATAGTGAAGTTACCAGCATCCTTTCACTTAATCCATATCTACTCCTTCTTGGATCAAGCATTTACTAAAGGTGTTGGAGGCCCTGGAACAAGAGTAGTACCTGGGGCAGCGTTATTATGAGGTGCACAAAGGATGGAGAAATCAAGATGAAAACACTAGAGCTTTCCTATCCTGAGACATACTCCAAACTGAGGTGGAGAAGAACAAACTAGAGCTTGAATTGTTGCTTTTCCTTTACATAAGCATCCTATCAAGACAGCTGCTAGTCCCAAGAGAATAACAGATGACTTTGTACAAGCACTCTGAAAGGAGGACAAGGCATAATATCTGTATAAGCATAAGAAAAAAATACTCACTATAAAAGAAGGCTATTGAAAACTTTAAGAAGTTACAAAGGTGTAGTAGAGGGTTGTCATCCATGGTTACAATAATTCCTCCCTCTCTCTCTGCACAGTATTTTATAATATGACATTGATGCTTCCCCCATAAAGATGCTGGAGTTTGCTTCTCCATCACCTAATCCCAGTGACTTACTTTGGCCAATGAGACATTAGCACACGTGATATAAGCGGAGACTTAGCAAGTGCTTATAAACTGGACTCAACTTGCTGCTCATGAGAAGTCTTCCATCATCACTGGTGAAAAATGACAGCCTCTTGAAGGACGATACCATCTGGAACATAGATGTGCCATCCCAGTGAAGGCTTCTAGAGCAACAAACTCCCAGCCAAGTGCCATCACTGTCTGCAAGACATCTGCGTGAGATGATCTTAGACCATCCGACACTACTTGAGCCATTAATGACTACTATTGAATGAATGACTTCATATAAAACCAGCTACAAAGCCACCCAACTGAGCAGAGTACAAACTGCTAACCACAAAATCATGAGTTAATAAATTGAGTTTTATTTTAAGCCACTAGGTTTTGAGTTGGTTTATTTTAGGAATAGATCACTGACACAGAAGAAGACATTGGAAATTTGGGTCTATGAATGATCATTTTTGAAATGTTAAAAAACTTAATGAATGTATTGAAATGGTCAAAGTTGAATTTCTTTCCCAGAAGACATCAAGAAAATATTAATGGATGGGGGGATAGACATACCAGGTTATGCATACATCTCAGAATGAAAGAAAGGTTAAAAATGACAAAATATGAGAAATATTAATAATAACATAATTAAAGAATTTTATCAGACATCAAGCCAAAAACACATATGAGTACTGAGCAGCATATTTTGGAGAAAAAGAAACAAACAACTTGAATGCAATAATAACATTTAATAAAATCAAAAACAGGAGAAAGTTCTGAAAGATTATGAAGAAAGGAAAGAGAAAACAATAGCAAACAAAGCCCAACAGAAAAAAAACATAGAGCACCTCAGAAAAGAAGATTATATTCACAGCGATCTTCTGAAAAGTAGAATTATATTCACAGAGACCTTCTGGGCACAAAAAGTCAAGAGACCTGTATTGTCAGTGTTAGAGAAAGGCATTGCATATAAACCATCGCTTAAATTCAATAGGAAAAAGAAAGATACTTTCAGCACATCTGATTTTTAAGAATGTTAGTTATAGCAGCAAGAATAATGACTTCAGGAGGATATATTGCAATATGGAAATAAAGGTGAGCAAAGTCTTAGAAAAATTTATTGTTCTCTAAGTGAACAGTTGACACATATTGGGTATGGCGGGCAGGTGGCAAGAACAGAGAGGCTAAGTGTGTTCTAAGTTTCCTGTCTGGTTTGGATAAAAAAAAAATATAGATATTGAATATCACAAGCCATTGGTAGGGAATACAAGCATAACTCTATATAAATAAATCAGAGGTTATCACTATATGACTAGAACAACGTAGAATGTTCATGTCAATTAAGAAATATTCAACTCATTCAGGACACCTGTGTGGCTCAGTCTGTTAAGTGTTTGCCTTCATCAGGTCATGATCTCGGGGTTCTGGGGGATGGACCCCTGCATGGAGCTCCTTGTTCAGTGTGGAGTCGACTTCTCCTTTTCCCCCTGATGCCCCCCAGTGTTCGTGCTCTCTCTTTCTGACAAATAAGTAGGCGAAATCTTAAAAAAAAAAAAAAAAAATTTCAACCCATCCAATGGAAGATACAAGTAAAAACAATAAATTACTAAATAAATAAAGCAAAAGGAAAAAAAAGGAAAACTGTAATTACAACAGATCTACAGAAATTATTTAAATTATAATTTAATTTGCTATGAACATATAAGGATTAAATATGTCAATGCAATGAGTCTTTCTGATTCAATGTCAAATGATATCAACTAAAATGAAATCCATCATTAAGATATCTGTAAGGGAAATATTTAACATAGTTTACAGACATAGAATAAATGATTAGTAAAAGGCATCCCAGGCAAATATGTATATCCAGAAGACAATTTTAATATTAACCAAATAGAATCAAAGCAAAATAAACATCATGAAGGAAAAAATGTTATCATGTATTTGTAGAAAAAAAGAATATGGCAAACTGAAAGAATGATCCTGAACATATATGCAGCTAAAATTTAGCCTCAGATTAACATTTTTCTAAAAAAGAATAAATGAAAAAATAGTGAGAAAATTATTTTAAATAATAACTAGTTTAAAATTCTTAATGCAATCATCTCAGAAACTGAATAAATATACCTAAAGTTAGCAAAGATTGAGAACACATGGATATAAGGTCATATGCAGATATTTAAATCCAACAAAAATAAACATATTTTAAACTTCTAGTAAACATTTATTAAAAATAAATACAACCGATGCAAAAAAACAAAATTGGCCAATGCAAAGAATAAGCATACAGTCCTTTTGGGCCTTACCCTGTCCATTCACACTGGCTTACTCTTCCAAGGCTAGCACCTGCAGAGGGTTTTCTACAGGCTCTCTCTGGGGGGCCTCCTCCTGAGTAGCTCTCAGCAGGGAAAAGTACAAGCAGTTTTCAGACAATGACTGCTAGGAGCTGGTGTCCCTCACCCACACTGTAGTGCCATCTCCAAGTACATGTTTGACCCTGATCCAGATTTCAAAGCAGGATTAAGGAGTTGCCCACACCAGTGGCTTGTTGGATAACACACACATACAAGGCTGATTCCCTTCCCAGCCTCAGTGCCCAATATCCTGATAATACTTCCTAGAAGAACCTCTAAAATAACCATTTAATATACAGATTCTTATCCCAGAGATTGTTTTTGGTTTGTGTGTTTATGCTTGTTTGGTTTGGTTTTGGTTTTCTGCAAGGGAAAGGCAAAGAATACAATTGATTTGGTACCCAAAGCGTTCCTAGAAGGCAGATCCTTAGGATGGGATTCTGGATTTGAATCATTCACTGGCCATATAGTAACAGATATCCCGTTGATGGGGATAATTGGAATCTTGATGCCCCCAGCACACTATATAACATCACAATTGCTAAGACTTTTGTCTAAGGAAAGTTGACCCAGAAAAATAGAACAGGGTGCCCTGGCATTTGCCCATCTCCACTCTGCCTATACTAAAGTCAGGCTGTGATGGGAAGGAAGTGGGACCCTGAGACCTGTGAGTTGGTGGTCGCCATGACTGAGAATTTTGACTATTCAGATACCCCTAATTCTTCTGGGCCAGCCTAAGTGTCTCGTATCCACCTGCTAGAGCAGCCTCCTTTTATCTCAAAACTATGGAATTCCCTCCCGCCAGACAAATGCCGTGAGGTTGATAATTACTTTCTCAAGGTCTGACTTAATCTCCCCTCATTGACTCCAGGCAAATTACTAGGTTAAGGTCTCAGGGTGGGCTTAACTGGGGAAGTCCTATCTATTCTGAGACAAAAGAGATCATCAGCAGAATCTGGGAGTCGATCTTGAAGGTGCTATATACCCTTGAAAACAGCATCTCCAGATGATTCATTATAAGCCATTATTCTGGGAAGGCTTCAAGGAAACATTCCAGTAGTTTATTATCAGTACTTGCTTCAGGTGTCCTTGTCAAATCACTAAGTTCTGAGCCATGGGGTATCCAGATTGTCTTATTGATATTTATATTATATTTGTCTCCAGCCTGGCAGCTTTTCATTAATTCCCAGTTCTTGCTACTAATTCTGTTCCTCTCAAAGCAGTAATAGGATTTCCCCAACTGGGACATGCTGCTCCTTGAACCTTGTCATTGGTCTAGAATCAACGAGGGGAAGGGAGGAAGGGAGTTTTAAATCATAAGCGGTCATGTTATCTTCAGTATGGAAAATAACTGTTTTCCTGTATTTGAGCAAATATTAGAGTTTGAGGGTTAGACTGAGTTCAGAAAGAAGAAAATAGAGCTAGTCATATTTTTGTTCACCGAGTACATAGTCTCCTAGATTTATACCCGGCTGTCTCCCTTTGCTCCGGAAAACAAATTTATTTCCAAATTTGACTGAAGCATTCCTCATGACATGAATATAGCTACCAAGGAGATGAGATTCCACCTGAAATCTTACACCCAATACAAAAATTTTTCTCGAAACTGAAAAAGGGAAAAATATCTGTAATAGGGGGAACAGCGGTAGAAGCCTACAGCACTTACCAAGGAAGAATCGTGAGAATTCAAGGGAACGGTTGAATTCATGTCAAATACATGATTGGTGCCAGTTTGTGGCCATGGCAATTAATCTTTTTGTTTGTTTTTGGAATTTCTCCCAACTTTTTTCTTTTCTTTTTTTTTCAAATGAAAAAGTCCTCAATGGAAGAGCAAAGCTCTTATATAAAGTCTCTTCTCTTCATGTTTTTATTTTCCTTTGCAAGAAGATTCTGCATTGAATAAACAGTAGATTTGCAAGGCAGTGAGAGAAGAGGGTCAGATTGATTCATGAAGAGCTGGGTGCTATGCTAGGGTAAACTTCTTACACAGCCAAAGGGTCTGTTTTGCAAAGCCTAGGCCAACTGAATTAGACAGTGATACCAAGAGTATGTAGTACCCTTAAAAAGACTGAAAGTTATAATTTTGACCCTCCAAAATAGGAAAAAAACATTCAATAAATGAAAATAGATTGGATAAAAAGTAGGGAAATAGATGATGATGATAGATGGGTGACAGATAGGTGATTGATAGATGATAGATAGAAAACAAATACTCATGTCTGAATGTAATACCTTCTTTTTACCTATTGAGAATTTACTTGCAAGTACCATACTATCCATCTTTTTGAAATGAAGGATTTGCCTTGCCTTAGACAATCTATATATTAATTTAAAGATGGAACACATTGTTCTTGTTTCCCTTAGCAATAAGGATTTTTTATGATTTATTCTTAGTATATACCTTTGACTCATATTCTTTTATTTTAGGCACACAACTCAGGATTCGTAACTACATACATATGGATAGAGGTGCTTGAAAAGAAAATCTGCTCTTCTGGAATACTGAATGCAAAATAAAAGCCCATCACTGAAAGCAGAATTTGGAGACTAGAAATGAGAGATGGAACACAGGTTTCAAAGGGATTATTAAAATCTAACAATTAAACGCTTTTACTTAAACAATATGAAATACAAAAATACATTGCTCCACTCCTGCCTCTAGGGTTACAGGATGATTTAAGGTCAGCCAACTAATGCAGAAAATTCTATGGCCAGAGTGACTGCTCAGGAATGAACATGTGATCAAGACAATGAGCTATAATGACACTATTTCTGTCAAATATTCAGGGAGAATCCATTGGTCCACATGTCCAGATGAATGTTTACCTTAGGGCTTTACGGATATGGTTGTGTTGTCTGTTGAATATTATTGAGCCTACTCAGGAATGATAATTTTTTTAAGATTTTATTTATTTATTTGACAGACAGAGATCACAAGTAGGTGGAGAGGCAGGCAGAGAGAGAGAGGAGGAAGCAGGCTCCCTGCTGAGCAGAGAGCCCAACGCGGGGCTCACTCGATCCCAGGACCCTGGGATCATGACCTGAGCTGAAGGCAGAGGCTTTAACCCACTGAGCCACCCAGGCACCCCAGGAATGATAATTTTATACCGATATACAATCTATTTGTATTATG